AAAATCGTGTTTGTATGTCTTTTACATTTATTTCTTTACAAATATTAAAAAAAATCATGTCCAGAAGTGGGCATATGGACGGTCACCCGGCATTAATGCAAATGTGCCAATTAGTATGGAGCGCTCGTGTGCACCTGTCGATCTTAATGCCCTGACTGCCAATTCAAGGTCTTATTTTAGTTGAGTGGGTAATTCAAGTACAAACCATTAAGCTGAAAAAAAATGAGAAGTTATGAAAAGAAGCAGTTCCAGTGAGAAATATAAGTCTGAGAAGAATTGGAAATTAGGAGTCTCCAAATTTGTTAATTTACCGAAATCATGTGGCTTTTCAGTTTTACCATCATATTTCCTAAAGTAACAGCTACCTGGGATGGTCTCCATTGTGGCTCCTGCCAGCTGACTGTTTCTACCAAGTGATGTGTTAGACGAAAGGGCCAGGGAATACGTCTCACTCACCTTTCTCTCCTTCAAGTCACCTGTCCTAGAGGTGTCCCATAATAGATGGACAGTTAATAGCTGTGAAACCAGCAGGGTTCATCATTCCTTCTTCTCATAGAGCAGGGGGAATTTTAGACTCCCATTCTAGCCTCAGTGGTCCTTTGGGAGGGGCGTGTCTCACCCACACTGCTGTTTGGGGGGTAGTGCCAACACATGAGAATGAGGGCCAGAAAAGAGACAAGCTATTTCTAATCTTTTACAAAATTATCTCATTATAGGGAGCCTACACTAGAAAAGGAAAAAATATGATTGTCCTGAAGATCTTTCTATTCTGGAGCCATGCCAGGGTTAGTTAACATCTGTTCTCTAGAGATCACCTAGAATCCACCCAACGTCCCTGAAATAAGTACAGTGGGACATGTGACTAGGGACAAAAATAAAGGCTGCTTTAGCCCATTCTCTGAACTTCACATGTGGGTAAGATCACCTAAGAGAAAAAATCCTTTCTGGAAAGATTTGACACCTTCTTACACTTTTGGATGACAGGACAGAGTCAAGAGGCGAGAGCAAGCCCCATTGGCCAAGGCATCCAACCCAAAAGGATGAGACTCAATCCAGACTTTAGACTGAAATGACAGAAGCCAGATGTGCAGCCCTTCGGGATGCCTCCAAGTGACAGGACACCAGGCTCTCTAGTCTCACTTTTGATTTGACAGGAATTGAAGGGAAGTAAGGCTATAGAAGGTTCATTTCTGGTCAGGACAATAATAGCACTTAAGTCTTCAGTATGTGTTTTGGCAAAGCTGGGCTGGAAGGTTTGCAAGACTGTGCCGGGAACCTTGATCCCCACGTGTGGGGTGTGAGTTGCACACATGTTCTCAAAGTCATTAAAAGGAACCCTTGGAGAGTTCTTGAGTGAAACAGCCTGGTAGCTCTTATACTGCTCACCACAAGCTGTTCTCTGCCCTAGGTGGGCAGACCTGCCCCATTAGAGAGGCCTCTAGAGCTGGTACATGGCTTGGTTGGAGGGTCCATGGAGGCATGGTTCTTGGAACACACATAGGGCAGTCTTGGTAGACTAAACTAATTTCTATCTTGCTTTGCTTGGACTTAGACAAGTGTCAAAACAACTAACATTTTAGAGATAAAGAGGCATTGAGCTGGTTGCTTGCGACTCATGCCTGTAATCCTAGCTACTCAGGAAGCTGAGATATGAGAATCGCAGTTCAAAGCCAGCCTGGGCAGGAAAGTCCATGAGACTCTTATCTTCAATGAACCACTCAGAAAACCGGAAGTGGTGCTGTGGCCCAAGTGGTAGAGCTCTCGCCTTGAGCTGAAAAGCTCAGGGACAGTGCCCAGGCCCAGAGTTCAAGCCCCACAACCGACCAAAAAAAAAAAAAGGCATTGAGCATCAGTAGTGATGATCTGTCAATATGCAACCAAGTTTAGCTTGGAGAAGGGGAGAAGAAAGACCAAAAGTAAGAAAAAGAAAGAAAAGGAAGGAAGAAAGAAAGAAAGAAGGAAAGAAAGAAAGAAGGAAAGAAGGAAGTAGGAAGGAAGGAAGGAAAGAAAGAAAAAGAAAGAGAGAAAGAAAGAAGATCAGAATGGCAATGCTTGCTCATTGGAAAGGCTATGCTAAAGAATCTCACCTTAGTTAGAGGCTCATTCAAAGAATGAATGGAGGAACAGTTCACTGTTGACTCTGTGAAGGATGTCCTTTCCTTCATCCTCAGAGTTCTTTATTCATGGCTTCTCAGTTTTCTGAAGCTGTGTTAGCAGAGTGATGTTCCCTGAAATTACTGTGGCTTTATTGTGAGGTAGTGCCTAGGTGAGGGACTAGCTTGACCCTCCACTGAGAACGAGGGAATAAAAATCTAATATGGATGATTCTATTCTCAGATCTTCACTTCCAACCTTACAAAAATAGAAAATACTTCCTAGACTTAGCTTGGGGCTTGGCAAATGATTGCTCTTTTCTCTAGAGCATGTTCCAGTATTGAACTTTCAGATTCCAATGTTTAGTTGCCTTTAGTTGTTGACAAGGTTGTCTTACTACTTTTATTATCATATATCAATGTTATCAACCAGAGTATTGGCTCTACTTATGAGATCTCACTACTTTCCAAATCTTTAATGACCTACATTGCCACAGTTTTTCTTTGCTTCATGTGTGCTACTTTTTAATCAAATGGCCATTTATAATCTTGGGGACAAACAAGTCTGCTGGTGAGCATAGCCAAGTAAGCCAGGTCAGGAGCTACTCAAGAGGTTAAGATCTGAGGATCATGGTTTGAAGCCAGCCAAGGAAGACAAGTACAGAAGACTCTTATGGAAGTAGAAGAGTTGTGGCTCCAGTGCGCCAATCTTAAGTGAAAAAGCTAAGGGACAGCACCCAGGCCCTGAGTTCAAGCCCCACCGTGGGTGCACGTGCACATATACACACACAATAATCACATAAGGGATTATGTAGCACAAACATTTCTTAGTTGGAGCCTTGTAGGGTTTTTTGGTGTTTAAGTTCATACTGGTTTTAGCTAGTTTGATTACAACTTACAGTGTGAGGTCAGGATGGATGCAGGTGCATCTGACTGATAACTTTGTATCAATGCTGACTGTTTTCCTGTGAGAATGAGTGAATGGGAGGATGAGGTAATTTGTTACTTCTTTCCAGTGGAACTGAGGTATTTATAGTGGCAGGAGACAATGGACAACAGGCCATGAAGCCCCATCCTCTGACAAAGGAAAGAGGAGGCAGCTTCCGCCCGAGGCCGGCGCAGTCCACTAGTGTGGGCTCATTTGCATGGCGACTCACTAGTAAAGAGTTTATAAAATGTTTACACTTTTCAAATGTGTGTTATTTTTGTTATCCTAGTGGATATCTTGTAAGTACTATTGTGTGTGTCTGTGTGCTGGTGTCCCAGGGCCTGAACTCAAGGCCTAGGAGCTGGCCCTGACCTTTTTTTTCTTATTCTTAAAGATAACACTTGAGGCACAGCTCCATTTCTGGTGTGTGTTTTTTGTTTTTGTTTCTTTTTGCTTTTGGTAGTTATTTGAAGACAAGAGTCTCATGCATTTTCCTGCCTGGTGTTGGCTTTGAACTGAGATCTTCAAATCTCAGCCTCCCAAGTAGCTATGATTACAGGTCTGAGTGACCTGACTAGCACTGGCAGTTTCACAAATCCTCAAATGGGGTCAGGAGGCCTAAGTTCATTTGTTCAAGGAAGGTACGGTATTAGTTCAGTGAGCAGGTGAAGGCATTAGGCTAAAAATGAAAACGCTAGAGGGAAAGCAGGGAGTGGTAGCACAGGCACTGAGGGGTGTCTGGTGAAGGGCTAATTGTCTCCAGAGCTGCTGCATTTTCTAGTGCTCTCTCTCTCTCTCTCTCTCTCTCTCTCTCTCTCTCTCTCTCTCTGTGAGTGTAAGAGAGAGAGAGACAGACAGAGAGACAGACAGACAGACCAACCGACAGACAGTAACGGAGACAGAGACAGAGATTATGGTGTAAAAAAATGGCTTTGTCCCACGTGTGGTAATCTGCACAGGAGCAAAAGTCACCAGCCCTGGGATCTCAGGCGCCCAGGCTCATCCCCCCGCACCGCCCCCCCCTCCGCCCCCTGCCCCTGTCCACCCTCTCCTCTGAGAAGAGGCAGCCAGGGCGCAGTGCAGGAAGCAGAGCTGGGAGGAGCCAGGCCAGGGCTATCCCCTCCGCGGGCGAGGCGGGAGCTGTCCGTGGTGCTGAACTCTTCCTCTGGCTTGGCGAGGGCCGGGCGCGCACAGTGCAGGCAAAGGCTCGGTGTGTCTGCTGGGGAGCAAGAGCTCCAGTCTGGCTTGCGGGGAGGGAGTGTCCTGTCCGAGCTCCCCACGACTCCCCGCCGGATCCAGAGGCGTAGGACCAGCCTTCCCTCGAGGTGCGTCTCGGCCCCACTCCCTCCCTATTCTTGTCCTCCAGGGGTCGGGGCGGCCTGACGCTTCCCGCCTCTCCTCTCCTTTGCCTCTATCCCGGCTCTCTCCTCGTCTCGAGAGCGGGATTACTCCGGGGCGCTGCCGGCCCCCGCAGTGTCGGAGACCACCCCTCGCGTGTCCGGCCGGGGTCTGCTGGCCCCTCCTCCTTCCTGGCTCCGTCCTCCCCAGCCGGCCCTCCCTCCCTGCCCCCCACTAGTTTTCTTAAACACCGAGTTGGGCAGCGCGCGCGCTCCGCCCCTGTTTTCCATACGAGGCGGCGCTGGAGTGCGGGGCGGGGCGGAGAGGAGGCGTTCCCGAGCCCCCTCAAAAGCTGCTCGCCCCCACGGGAGCCCCCCATCCCTGCAAGCTCCCGCGGAGAGACGCCTGGGCCCCCGGACTGCTGGGGACGCCAGGGACTCCGGCCGGCCGGCCGCCCCGCGCGAGCGCGTTCCCGCCGGCCCAGCCCCGCGCCCAGGTAGGACTTTGCTCCGGGGCTGAACATCGAATCGCCAGGAGCCGTTTACATCCCCGTGCCTGTCTGTCGCGCTTAGTTAGGCTTCCTTTCAGAGACGGGAAGACAGAGGGGCTCTCTCTCTCTCTCTCTCTCTCTGTTATTCTGAGGCTCCGTTACTGCAACAGGAGGACTCGGGCGGTGGAAGGAAGCGCGATCGGTGTCGGGGGCAGACACGGGAAAGTGACCCACTTCGCTTCTATCTTTGGACAGGTGGCCATGACCTCACTGCCCACTCGGAACTCCGGGGTCCCCGACTTGGTTTCCGGGCCGCCGCCGCCCGCGCCTTCCATCCCAGCCAACCAGAGCGCAGAGGCGTCGGCGGGCAACGCGTCTTGGGCGGCGTCGGTGCCCGGCCCGGGTGCGCAGGCCATCACGCCGTTCCAGAGCCTGCAGCTGGTGCATCAGCTGAAGGGCTTGATCGTGCTGCTGTACAGCGTGGTGGTGGTCGTGGGGCTGGTGGGCAACTGCCTGCTGGTGCTGGTGATCGCGCGCGTGCGCCGGCTGCACAATGTGACCAACTTCCTCATCGGCAACCTGGCTCTGTCCGACGTGCTCATGTGCGCCGCCTGCGTGCCGCTCACGCTGGCCTACGCCTTCGAGCCTCGCGGCTGGGTGTTCGGCGGGGGCCTGTGCCACCTGGTGTTCTTCCTGCAGCCCGTCACCGTGTACGTGTCGGTGTTCACGCTCACCACCATCGCCGTGGACCGCTACGTCGTGCTGGTGCACCCGCTGCGCAGGCGCATCTCGCTGCGCCTCAGCGCCTACGCGGTGCTGGCCATCTGGGCGCTGTCCGCGGTGCTGGCGCTGCCCGCCGCCGTGCACACCTACCACGTCCGGCTGGAGCCCCACCACGTGCATCTCTGCGAGGAGTTCTGGGGGCCCCAGGAGCGCCAGCGCCAGCTCTACGCCTGGGGACTGCTGCTGGGCACCTACCTGCTGCCCCTGCTGGTCATCCTGCTGTCGTACGTGCGGGTGTCGGTGAAACTCCGCAACCGTGTGGTGCCGGGCTGCGTGACCCAGAGCCAGGCGGGCTGGGACCGCGCGCGCCGCCGCCGCACGTTCTGCCTGCTGGTGATCGTGGTGGTGGTGTTCGCCGTCTGCTGGCTGCCCCTGCACGTCTTCAACCTGCTGCGGGACCTCGACCCGCACGCCATCGATCCCTATGCCTTCGGCCTGGTGCAGCTCCTCTGCCACTGGCTGGCCATGAGCTCGGCCTGCTACAACCCCTTCATCTACGCCTGGCTGCACGACAGCTTCCGGGAGGAGCTGCGCAAGCTGTTGCTCACCTGGCCCCGCAAGATCGTGCCCCACCGCCAGAGCGTGACGGTCAGCGTGGTCATCTGATGCCGCCCGGCCGGGCCTGGCCTGGGCTGGGCAGCTCCACATCGCTTGGCTTTGTGTGTGTGTGGGGGGGGGTCACCACTCCAGACTGGTAGACCTTATTCCCAGCCCCAGAGCTCAGCTAGCCTAGCGATGGGCTGGATTCCCGGCACAGCCCTTCTGTCTGGCTACCTGTCTCTTTCTTGGGTGTGCGTTTTAGTGTTTAGTTTAGCTTAGTTTTTTGTTTTGTAAAATGCTAAGTGGGTCTTTCTTGTGTTCGGGGGAAAATGTTAAGCAGGCTTTGGTAGGGAGGGCAGGGAGAGGGAAAAAGATTTGACATTTCTTCCCTATGCCCCTCAGAGCCAAACAAATACCTTTGTCCCCCATCAGAAAAAGAATTCAGAGCCATGGTTCACTCTTGCTTTTCTGTCTGTGGTGTTGGAGAAACACAGAGGGTGAGACTTAAAATGACAGGGTTGGGAAACTTCCAGCGTATATATGAACCAGCTTAGATATAATGCCTGATAATGTTTTGTCAGCTTAACCCTTGACTCTCCAGGATTTCAGGTAAATATGTATTACAAACCCACATCTAGGATTTCAGCATTTACGGTTTCAGTTGTAAAAATCACTCGACTATCTAGTACAGAGCTACTTACAGGCTGTCTCTCAAAAGCTCTTGCTTTTGTTTTCCTCCTAATGCCCCAACTACTATATTAAGATGAAGTAGTCAATGAAGAGATAGCTAAAGAGAAAAAGGCCCAGTTCACTTAAAGGGATACAGGTCTGTCTAAGGACAGACCTATGTGTGTGTGTGGGCACACACTGACACACACACACACACACACACACACTGTGTTTGCCACAGACACTCACATATTTGATTTTCTGAATGCTCAATGTAAGCTGTGCACGACAGCATTCTCTTACATTCTCTAATTGCTCAATTGCAACAGATCAACAGCTGTCATCTGACTGCTCAGCACCTGCTCCTCCAATACACTGGGAACATATCAACCTAGAAGGTAAGGATAGGGAGTTTACTTAAGGACAGTGCAGAAATAAATAAACTGCTATCCACTGGATGCAGAAATGAAGCACTAATTACTTCCAGGGTTAAAGAAACATGTGAAGGCTGTGTATATGACACCAGGCTGATGTTCACCAAGTGAACCTCCTGAGAGTTGTGGTAATGAGGACAAGTGTCCTGGGACAAAGGTCTCTACAGTGAATGTGGGAACAGTGCCTGGAGCAGTGGGCAGAGCAGGAGCCTTGGGAAATGATACATAGTATCCAGCTGTCAGATCTGCCCCTCTGGTTTGTGTGGCTTGAACTAGATTCTGCAGCAACTCCATTGCCATCTGTGATGTTCCAGTCCTTCCCCTCCTTACAAAACAGAGGAGTCAATGTTTCCTCTCCTCTGGCTTCTCTTACTCTTAGAAATGGGCTCATTCGCTACTGCCTTGCTCTAGAAGGCAGGGGGCACTGTACTAGGAGAATTAAATCCAAATAGGCCCACGTCCACTACCATAGGCAACTGTGTATTTATACATAGGTTAGATGGCTCTAAAAGCCTTCAGAAGTTCAGAGTTAGACTTTTTGCAGCACAGGAGAAGAGCAGGGAAAGCCTGGGATAAAAGAGCAGGCAGAGATGAATGCAAGATGAAAGTTACCTTTGGCAGAGACATTCAACTGACTGAACTTCACTAACAGTTTGCCAAAAGAGCTTTTAGAGAAAATGTATCCATGTGGCAAAATAATGAGACCATTACTTTTTAAGGTAGAGGTGAAAAGCCTGTTTGAATGAGGTAGCTCATCTTCACAGCATCTTGTCACGGCCTATGTGCCCTGCCCCAGGCGAGCTCATCTCCGAGTCTTCTCAGAGGCTGGCTTTTGTGATTCCAACAGCTCTGTTACTTGAGAGGCACAATGCCAGACAACGAGGGTAGTGTGAAAAGAGAGTAGGGGATGTGGAGGAGTAGGATTAGTGAGGGATCTGGTTGGTTGTGGTCTCTTTGTTAGGAGGTTTAAATGACTGATTTTCAGTCCTGGCTCCTCGTAGAATCACTTGGGTAGCTTTCAAAAAACCACCGATGCCCAGGCTTTACTTGCAGAGAGTCTAATTAACTAGAGATAGGGTCTGGATGTCGGCATTTTCAAAGCAGTGCAGGTGATTAAATGTGTATCCAAAATAAGTTGACTTACAAATTACCCTCTTTGCTAATGAATCCCAGAAATAATGGAATGAAGCTTCTTTTGTACCCAAGATGTTAAGATCTTCAGCTGAATTTGACAGTGAGTTGCAACCATCTTTGATTAGTATTCTTTTAGCCTTCAAGTAATATCCGACCTGTTGCAAAGAGGCATTTCCTCCGGGTCAGTGTACACGGGTGTACATTACATAGTTTCTCACTGTGTGAGGAACACAGTGAGCACAAATTACTCCAAGTCCCCACTGTAGTGTTAAAATAAATAAAATGTTTACTGATGAGCTTAAATGTATATCAATTGTGTGAGCCTGATGTCACTATTAATGACTAGAAAAGCTGCCACCAGGTTTTGTCACAAGAACAACTTGCTTTAAAAATTGAAGCGCTTGCACCGTCTTTATGGAGTGCCCACACATGGATGAGTTATGCTGAAAATAGACAACCAAAACAGGGAGTAATTAATTGTTACACCAGGTGCCATCTATTTGGGACTAGTTTATAAAATAAACTGGCTTGTAAAAGAAAATAAATCTTTCAGAGATGAGTTCCAGAGAACTCTGCCCAGGCTCCTAGGTAGATATTGGTATTTCATAATTCGTTTTGGTTAATATCAAGCACCTAAGCGGAGTCTGCAGAGCTATCCTACAGGGGATCAGATGGAAGCAGAGCTGGGAATGAAGCCAGCCTGGGACTTGGCAGGGGCCTGCCCAAGGCTGACAGGAGGTTTTGTAATACTCTTTGCAAACATTGTCACCAAGTCTCACTCTTGGCAGCCATTCAATGGATTTATCCCATTAAGTCGACAGAAGAGTGGTTCAAAATGTGTTGCTATCAGTTATCTGGAAATATTAACTGTGACAGACACTAAGGAAATGATATTTCAGTTGATAGAACCTTCCTGATATTTCATTCTTATGAATTTTTAGGCTGTTCTTTTAGCCCTGGTAGCTAACTTTCGGTTTTAATTTATTTCATTTTTCAGGTAAGCCAGTCAATTGCCTTTCCCCTGTGGTTTGCATACCGGGACATCTAGTCCTTTTTCAAATGTAAAACAAGGCAATGATCCTAGAGGTCTGTGTACACATCTTAGGTGGTTGATATTATGAGTTAGAAATCTCTAGGCAAGAATGTAGCCTGCTTGGGAGTAAACGCAAGGCCCATTCCTCAGTGCAGAAGCCACGGCAGCTGTGTTCCCCCAAGCAGGGCCTTCATGGGTTACCTCTGCGCATTCCTGTCTTTGCTCTCTGTGTAAGATGCTTGTGTTGCTATGTGAAGCTCCTCACAGCTTGTGCTGTGTTTGTAGGTGTTCAATAAACATTACGTTGGTCGTGTAGTCTCCAGCTCTGGGATGACTAAAATAAGCCAGTTACACCTCAGTATGAGTAGGGTGACAGCAAGGAAAAATCATGCCCCCAAACCTACTACTCAATCTGGATTTTTTCAATTCCAACTCATCACAGAGACAAGCTGTCATTTTGGCTGTCTCCTATCTGTCTATCCCCCATTCCCCCAATAATGCCAGCATTTCAGTACAGAGCATCAGCCTCTGCTCCCAAGTTCATGTGCACCTAAATACACAGGGCCCTCCCAGTGAAAGTGGGGGACAGCCTGCTTACTTTCTACTCCATCGCGAAGCTTGATGATTGTTCAAAAGCTGGCATTTTACCACCCATGTCCTATATTATAAATGTGGAAATTCCAAAAGCATTGGATCTGTGGGTCAACAAATAAGATCTAGAATGTTCCAACATATTCGTGACAGAGTCATGGACAAGATTTTCTGGTACATGTAAAATACTACTAAGCCTGGATCAATGGACACGGTCTCATCGTACCCATTTATTCTGACAAGAGGAACTAGTATACAGATGTTGGAAAGGTAATATGTTTAGATAAATTTATTTAAAGGCTGAACATCTCCAACCAGTCTTGGGAAACATCAAGTCTTGTTTTGATACCCTAGCATGCACTCTGAACACACCTTTTAGAGTATTTGTCTGTGCTTTTCAACTCAGCCCTCTCATTTCTCACCCTTTATTCCTTGATTCTGTCCTTTTCCATCCTACTACCTTTCTATATAGTTTATAACATGCCTCCTCCCTGAAGCCCCTCTGTCCCAGTGAAAGGGAAGTGGTGAAATCCATGCTGCCATCTTCCCTTGGTCCTTGGGAGGTGAAGGACGCTGTGGATGGTAGCATTGCAGGTATTGCTGGCTGGACACGGTATGCTGGGGCTTCAGCTCTTGTATCTTCTCCACCATGGGGGCTGGCATTTCACACATTTAGCAGCCAAGCTCCAGGCCAACATGGATAACACAAGTCTGCTCAGAATTTCTTCAGGACCTTGCTAAAACACACCAAGGACTCTCATGAGGCACCTCACAATAAAAGGTCAGAAGTGTTTCATCTCGATGTTTGGGCCAAAGTAAAGAAACTGGAGCCAGAAAAAGCAAAGGATAAACAGTCTCTACTCCGAAGCATTCCCTGTCTCAAAACCTCCCTCCCTCAGCTCTCACAAAACCCTCTTCTTGACTGGCTAATGTCTAAGTCCCCTGCTCCCAGAACCCATCTCTTCCTTGAGGGATGACATCTAGGGAGAAATGGAAAACTACTGCCACCATTCCTCCTGAGGAATGCCTCCTTTTGAACTGGAAAAATTGAAGAAGAAAAAAAAAAGACTTCAGATTGGAGCTCTGAGTTACAAATCACGCACCAGGCTTTTCTCGATAGCTGGAACACCACAATCACATTACTAGGCGGGTCCACTCCCTCCCCTCCCCCTCTTCATGTAGAAGCTAGACACTGCAGAATCTGCTGTGGGTATGACATGGGTCAGATCTGGGGCCCAG